TACCAAACCTTAATCCTAGACAGGGGTCTGGATGGATTTTAAGGGGGAACCCTTTCACATCAGGAGCCCCCTACAGTCCCCACTTTCCTATCAGAAGTCCCCCTCCTTCACATCAGAGTCTACCCTTTAGCGAAACTTTTGAGGCACCCCTGACAATGTCAGGAGGCACTCCAGGGTGCCATGACTCCCCGGTTGAGAAAGGCTGCTCTATGCAATTGCTGTGTTATAGGGGTTGGAGGGGGGAAACACAATGCAATGGTGGGGTACAGAGCATCCAAGACTCCCAGGAGTGCTGAAGTGTTATGATGACATTTGGGTTCACAGCTACAATGGGTTTCATGTGATACAGCGGGTTCGAAGCTCGCTGTCTCAGTGGATTAATGCACACATTCCCCAATCCGAATTCATTGTAACCATAATGAACTACCAGGCCTATGAACTTAGATCTGCTGGCTTAGAAGGGCCAATAAAGGGGCTGTTGGATATGCCACCCCTCTCACTATAAAATGGTGAGGTCACAGCAGCCATATGAACAATGTGCTTTATATGTGATAGAGGAAGCATAGGGAGAAAAAAAGCTGGCCATACACTTACTGTCGACATCCTTTAGGCCAGCATCCCTCGATCAGCTTAGGTCGGAAAATCTTCATACGAACAGAGCGGGCAGCAAATGAGCTTCTGGCTCTGTTCGGTTATTCTGACAGTGATTGGCAGTTGTCGTTATGATACAATGAAGACAGCGGGAGATTCCTCGATCAACGCTCGTGTCGGTAAAAATGCTGCATGTCTTTGGTCCGTTCCTGTGCATTGGCAGTCCATTCAAAATGGGTTTCCTTAATGCAACACACATTATATGCAACGCAGGTAGGGATGTGCATGGGCTTGCTACAAACCTGTGCAAAACTGTCAGTGACACGTCCCCCTTTTGGCCCAATCAGCTGCGGCTGGGGTACTCCTATACCTGGGAAATTGCTGAAAATGACCCAGCAATTCCAGATTTTCATCAGCATTGCTGGGTCATTTTCCAGATCTGTCAAAATCTCCGGGTGGCCTGCTGGGGAATGGGTCAGCAGGGGCTGAAAAGGCTTGCCCGCGTTCACTTGATCATGCAGAGGATAGAACTTCTGTCACCGACCTGTTCAACCACTGCTGGCCACAGATCTTTGTTGTCTTGTAGAGCTACCCCAGGGGAGGAATCATTAGCATCCAACATACTTCCTCTTCCAGGTCTGTTAGAATGCTTCTGTGTGCTTTGGTTCCAACCATCATTCACTACATAACTAATGTATTTCTGCAATGACCTTATCTTAAAGACTATGAAAAAATAATGTTATGCTGTAACTCACAGAAATAAATGATAACTCAGACTTCAACAGTTTATTGTCAGAATAGAGCTAGCCAAGGCCCTTGCAACAATGCCAACTACATCATTATTGATAATTAAAAGCTGCACTACTGCCTGTGACCAGCAGGTGGAGACACAAAACCTTTATGGACAAGCACGATTTGGGTTGAGTAGTGTGACATGGCAAGTGTACAAAGCTCACGATGACCATATTTGCGTCAATGGGATTATTCCTACTTTTGAGCTCTAACCAACTATACATATAAACAGCTTTCTGCCGATTTCAGTCAATTCATATAATTTATTAGTGTAAATGCATTTTTCAAAATGTAATACAATCATATTATTAATGACTATGTCAAATATGATCAGTACCAGGACAAGGTCCTCTTGCACCCAAGGTGAGGAGGTCAAAGCTTGCATCCCCCCTTTAATTCTGCACTACAAAAACTAACACAAACTGAAAATGATTAGGGTCTAATTACACCACTGCACCGTGTTGTGGCAATTCATTGTGAATGTCAACCCAGCACACTTGCAAATGCAAGTGCCCTGCAATACATGTGAGCTGCAATGCAGTGCAGCACAAACCAGAGTGTCCTGTGCCTTGGGCTGCAATAAAATGTAGCCTGCCCCATTTTCATGTGTGTTGCTGGGCATTTCCGCCTATGCTTTTTGAATGGGTTGTTTAACGAAACGCAATGCAGAACAGCCTGCAACGGCTGTGTCCCAGGCTGTGTATCGGGCTGTGTATCGGGTTCGCAGTGTGAGGCTTGCTAAGGCCTCATTCTCACTGCCGTACAATACGCTGCGTATATGCGCGTAAGCGCGTATTGTCCCATATGCAGCATATGCAAATAAATGGCTCCATACACATAGCTGCGTATGGAGTCGTATATTTGTGGTGCGTAAAGATGCACAAAAACAGAATGGACCCGAAATGCGTCCGGGCAACGTATTTCTGCGTATTTTGGGATTGCATATAGTGCACGTATACGTGTATGTACCCAATATACAATTTTGCTCTTGCGTTGTGTGTGCATGAGGCCTTAGGGTTACGTCTCATGAGCAGTAATGATGATCCGGTGCCCAGTGCTCCTGCTGTTGGATTTCTCACCATACGTGGGACTTTACTAGCGCCAGGCACCCAAGCAGCGTTCCCGGCATCTTGTGTAGGGTGCTCTGGATCCTAGTTGCCACACTTTGAATAGACTATATGAACTAAAAGATGTAGCTAGCTAAACAAATACATAAATCATTTTACTAAGTGGAAATCTGAGTTACATCAGGCATTGTTATATAAACGATAAGTTGCTCGCTGTACTGGTCCTTCTGTATATAGAATAAGTACAAATTGCAATAAAACTTTATAATGTGAATTTTATTTAATTTTTTACTGTTTTTAAAGAACTGGTTCACTGGGATCTATATGTAAAATCAACAACACAGAGTATTTATAGCATTTTTGTACTGTACTACACCAGGAGCTTGCACTCATGTATGTTCTCTCTGGATACATCCGGTACAGGATTAGAGGATAGAATAAACAGGGAATCTTTTCACCGTTTCACCCGGAATTTTCCAGAGCCTCAGTAGTTTCTCATCTACAATGAAATGGCTCTTTCTGGCATTTCTGAAGCCCTGAAAAAGGGGGACCCCTTAATGACTCTGAAACACGTTGGCTTGTCCTTTCCAACTCATATGTGGGATAAAATGCTTTTTGGGCTCTGTATATTCACTAAGGATATCAAGACACATGTAGATTATTAGTAAATAGAGTTTGGTTTAAGCTTACTATACATGTTACAGTTTGACTGTACAATCAACTTTAGATCTACTACATCTTCACCCTCGTCTCAAAGTATCACCCTAACCGTCCCGTCCGCTCCTCCCAAGACCTCCTGATCTCTAGCTCCCTCGTCACTTCCTCCCATGCTCGCCACCAGGACTTCTCTAGAGTCTCTCCCATCCTTTGGACCTCTTTACCCCAACACGTCCAGGTATTTCCTATTCTCTCTGCCTTTAGGCGATCACTAAAGACTCCTCTCTTCAGGGGAGCCTATCCCACCTCAACCTAACCGCTCAACCATCACATTCTCAAACAGTTCATCCCCACACAGCTACCTCCTCGTGTATCACTGGCCCCTCCCCTTTAGATTGCAAGCTCTCATCTTATCTTGATTTGTATTGCAATGTCTTCCTTATACTGTAAAGCGCTGCGCACACAGTTGGCGCTATATAAATCCTGTATAATAATCATATAAACCTTTTGTAAAGTACAACTGCAATTATGGGTGTACGTATGTAGGATAGAAACTAGGTGGAAAGGGGGAGAGGGAGCTAAACAGAAAGGTGAGAGGTATGCAGCCTTGGTCAGTAGCGTTAAAGG